GGGGCGGGAGAGCCAAGGGGCCACATTAACACTTGTTGTTGCTCTTGTGTTGTAGTGTACCACTGGCCTTGAGCGCCTTACAAAGATGAAGATACATGTATTATGATGACGGTCGAATTAAGCAAGCGGCGGAGGGGACGGGGTGGGGTTGGGGGGAGGGGGAGCTCCTGGAGCAATGCACAGCCTCGACAAATATACGGCAGTAATCATAGCAGCAAGATCCTGGCCAAGATTATTATTATCCGAATGTCGGATGCCGTGGACAGCTGCTTAAGAAAAGAACAAGCAGGATTTCGCAAAGAAAGAAGATGCACAGACCAGATATTTGCCCTCCGCAACATAATAGAACAGTGCACGGAATGGCAGAGACAACTTTAAGTCAACTTCGTTGATTTTGAAAAAGCATTCGACAGTGTGCATAGGGAAAGTCTTTGGTACATTCCACTATGTTATGGAATCCCTTGCAAGATAGTAGAGGTCATCAAGAGTTTCTACCAAAACTTCAAGTGCGTTGTTGGAAACAGTACCACTGCTTTTGAGGTAAAGACAGGAGTTAGACAAGGATGCAACATGTCAGTAATTCTGTTCAACCTGGCCATTGACTGGGTCATGAGGAAAACAACAGAGGATACACCAAGAGGCATAAGGTGGAACCTCTTCTCCACCCTCGAGGATATTGACTTTGCCGACGACCTTGCACTACTCTCCCATACCAACCAGCACATGCCGAAAAAACAAACCGACTACACAAATACGGACTCCAGATTGTGTTAAGAATAAGCCAGAAGAAGACAGAAGTGATGACCCTGAATGTAGACTCCCCAACGCTGATTAGAGTGAACAACACAGACCTCCCCATAACAGACTCATTTACCTACCTAGGCAGCATAATCAAAACTGACGGCGGCACAAAGGAAAACATCATGAACAGACTCGGCAAGGCAAGATCTGTACACAGAAGCATGATCAACATCTGGAAGTCAGGACAATTTAGTATACCAACCAAGTTAAAGCTGTATAACAGCTGTGTACTATTAACACTCCTATATGGAGCTGAATGCTGGAGGATGACTGATCATGACCGTGCCAAGCTATTTTCCTTTCATACAACCAGCCTACGCCAAATCCTCGGAATCTTCTGGCCCAACAAGATCTCCAACGCAGATCTGTTACGTAAATGTAAGCAAGAGGACATGACCACCATAATAAAAAGGAGAAGATGGAGATGGATTGGACATGTTCTGAGAAGAGAGCCAGACTCTATTGTAAAGACTGCCCTCCACTGGACACCCGAAGGACGTCGCAAAAGGGGCAGACCCAAAGTAACCTGGAGACGCACTGTAGAGTCTGAAATGAAGTCCTGGAATCATTCGTGGGGAACGCTGACCAAGATGGCCCAAAACAGACAAAGCTGGAGATCCCTTGTAACTGCCCTAAACGCCAGATGGCGTAATGGGTAGTAAGTAAGTAAGTAAACAAAGCAGCAGCGACCACCGTTA